GTGGTAAATTGTATTGCTGTTGGTAAAATATGAAAAAAGCCTTATTTTGAAATATGGAAAGCAGTACTGTTCTATTATCTGGACTGAGCCAGGGGTGGGGGTGAAACCACTTCCCCCTGTGTTCCTGTTATTGCCTCCACCCATATTACCCTCGTTGAGACCACCACCATCATTATGACATGGGGAGAAGAGGGGGGATAACTAGCGAAAATGGGGAAACTGTTTTCCTCCTTCAATCCCCCCTTCCAAATGGAGTGTCCTTCTCTGTCTACTCCCCCTTTTGGAGTCCACCCAGATAATGGAACAGTACCTGGAAAGCTTGGCCAAAGGGGAAAATAGAAGTCAAAACTGCCTGCATTGGCAAGTTGCATTTTACATAGATATATAAATGGACAATTTCTTAAGGTCTGGAGATCATTTCCCTCTCTCATGCCTGGTAGGATACATTCCCCATTACAAATTGTGCCTGAGAAGCTACTTTAAAGATAATTGGACAGCGGGGGGGGGGGGGGGGGAGGAGACATTCTGATTACAGAGTTCTGAATGAAGAAAGTAAGATAGAAAAAACAATGTCTCATGGCTGTGAATGGTGCTGGATCATGGGGAATTGATGGTAATTGCCGTGAACCTCGTTATCTTATGTTAGGATTCCACCCAGTATCTTCTGTGCTGAAGAGATTAATGAAGAGAGTATTCACTTCAGCTGTTTTGAGTTTTCATTAAGAAAGCGAGATGGTGTATGAATGAAAAGCTAATAAATTAGATCATTATTCAGAATGCATTTGAAAGATAACAAAGGCTTGAGATTTCACTCAGAATGCATGTATAATACGGAACGAATATCTTAAATTGGGGCTCAGAGAAGCTGACCATTTCTATGTCTCCAGGGGTTATACTATGCATCTAAAGTGTGATGTAGGGCTAACAGAAGAGAGTATTTCATACAACTTAATTTTTGTGTGAAAGTTATTAATGGAAGTTGTAATGATAATCGCTGGTTTAGAAGGTTTTTAAAGTGAACTGAACAAAGCCATGATGGACAAGCCTGTCAACAGCTATTAGTCATCAGAAACAGTGTCTCCATATACAACAGTTACAGGAATAAAGCAGGAAGACAATTGCTTTGAGCTTGCAGTGGCATTATCTGGCTTGCTGCTGTTCAACAGTGCGTTAATCAAGGAAGGCATTAATTCTAGCCCTAGTATTGTTGGTTAAAATGCCCTCAGTATAACGACATCACAAACTTCATATGAAATAACTATTAAAGTTACACAATCTGGCTACTTCTCTTACCCTAAGGAGCGGATTATTATCATTTATGAATGTCTTCCCCATGTGTTATATTTAATTCTGCAGCCTCTCTAAATTTTGGGAGGTCACAGTAAACAAAATAGCTTTCCTTTGATCAGGCATACTAAACAATTTTAAGTAAACATCTTCCATGAAAAACACAGTGACATAGTGAGTCAGAGCTACTACACATGTAAGTAATCGTCAGATACAGGATAAATACTGTATATACTCATGTGAAGTTGACCCTGTGTATAATCTGAGGGCAGGTTTTGGGGCTAAATTTATGCATTTGAACATGACCTGAGGAAAAAGGGTCATTCCACAGAAAGCAAATAGTGCCAGTGCCCACATTGGGAGGCAGCCATCCTTGGCCACCACTACTGTTTTCATGCCTAGGTATTTTAAAAAGCCAGAAGCAGTGACACAGTGGAGGTCAGTGCTGCTTTTGGGTTCCCTCGGTATGAACTAAGCTGTTTCACTACTCTACTCAGAGAAACAGATGGTTTCCATGGATAAACCAACCCAGGTTTTTTTGGTTGGAAGTTTTGACTAAAATTTCTATACTTATTCATGAGTAAATATGATAAATCCTGCCAAATCTGTTAGTTTTAGACTTTTCATTATTTCTCTTAGTTTGTTCTGTCAATATTAAATCTTTATCCTGTAGATTCAATATCTTTGCACTTTATATATCAAAATTCTTAGTTCTATATCTTAGTGAAGTAATCATATTGATTGCAGCTTTTCTAGATAGATAATACTTTGGTGTTGCTCTCTTGTTTTTCTTGGAGAGATACACACACACACACACACACACACACACACACACACACCTAGTTCTGTAATTTTGTCTATGATTAGAGCTAGGCTTATTTTTAAGAAATTGTTTGTGAAATGTTAACTGTACTTTGAAGATGAAACCACATTGCATTGTACTGTACTAAACCTTACAAAGGGTCCTTCCACACAGCCATATCATGCAGAATATCAAGGTAGAAAATCCCACAATATCTGCTTTGAACTAGGTTATCTAAGTCCACACTTAGATAATGTGGGATTTTCTTCCTTTATATTCTGGTATATAGGGCTGTGTAAAAGGGCCCAAATACTTCTTATCTGATTCCTGTAATCTCAGTACTCTTCACCTGGGAGGGTGTGGCTTACTGTAGCGTCTACAGGTTGAACCTTATCCTCTGCTTCAGAGCTTTCTCTTGTCAGTGTTGCTTACAGAAAGGATCAGTGCTACTGTGCTTATGTATAAAAGGAGGATTTATACTGAAGTTTCTAAATAGGAAAATACTATGGAAAGTCCAGCACAAACTTTCCATGCTGTCTGGTGGATTATAGATGGCCCCTCCCCAGTAAAACCACTTTGTGAGAACAATATTTATAATTCTTACCCAGTCCCTTACTTTTTATTTTTCACTTGAGTAGTTTCAGTCATAGTCTTAATACACCAAATATTCCTTTCACTCTTATTACTATTTATTATAGCTAAGTCCTTTTTGGCATGTTCAGTTTTTAAGAAGTAACAGCATTATAAAAACATGCTAGAGACACTTAATATTGATAGGGAAAACAAAGACATCTACATTACACAATGTGTACTGCTAATGTATACTAGCAGACTGAAAGAAAAAAAGGAATAAAATAGCCCCTGCTATATCACTAGTGGATTCAATCAGAAATGAATTATTTAACAACTAATACATATTAATCTGAATGATATGAAGAAATGTAACTACTGTTTTTTTAAATATAAAAACATATATGGACATGTGTCTTGTATAGGATAATTTTGTCAATACCTTCATTTTTATAGTTGTAAATAGAGTGGAAGGCCACATTTCTCTCTAGCAGTTATGAATGTATAACCTAGAGTTATGCACTTGTGACTGTTATGTATTCATGGTCTTTACGTTTATGTGTGCCTTCAGGTCACCTGTCATTGGATTTTCTTCGGCAAGGAATACACCAAGTGGCTTTACCAGTTCCTTCCTATGGAATGTAGTCCTCTGGAATATACAGCACCTGATATTAACCCATTCAGGTACTAACCAGAGTTGACAGTGCATAGCTTCCAGGATCATATGGGATCTGGTGGATTTAGGGTATTTAGGCAGTACATGGGGTCTATGAAAGTCGCCTTAACTCCACTTACCAGTCAGTAGCTGCTGCAATCAGTGGGAGTAGTTCCCCTGTCAATTGGGTAGCAGCTGTCTGTTGAGCGTGTAGTCTTTGTCCCCCTCCCCCTTCCCCAGTGACAGGAACTGCTCAGGCGAGGGGAAAGTGCCACAGGTGTCCTGCTTCTGCCTGTTGCACTGAAGATGCTCATGAGAGGGGGTGGAAACAGCAGTCAGCTGCTTCTCCAACCACAACAGAACAGACCCCCACTTTAATTACAGCAGCTGATTCCAGGCTGTTTGAATCCTTCAGGATTTTATTGGCTTCTGCCTTCTCATGGAAATTGCTAAGTTTTCAGAGAATTTTAGAATTTGTTACTTACTCTATCATTGTATAATGTCCCTTTTCAATTAACCATCCAGTCAGGAAAGCAGCTATTCTTTTTGACAAATACTGTAGTTTACTAGATCATAGAATCAAAGAGTTGGAAGAGACCTCATGGGCCATCCAGTCCAACCCCCTGCCAAGAAGCAGGAATACTGCATTCAAATCACCCCTGATGGATGGCCATCCAGCTTCTGTTTAAAAGCTTCCAAAGAAGGAGCCTCCACCACACTCTGGGGCAAAGAGTTCCAGTGCTGAACGGCTCTCACAGTCAGGAAGTTCTTTCTCATGTTCAGATGGAATCTCTTTTCTTGTAGTTTGAAGCCAGTGATCCGCGTCCTAGTCTCCAAGGAAGCAGAAAACAAGCTTGCTCCCTCCTCCCTGTGGCTTCCTCTCACATATTTATACATGGGCATCATATCTCCTCTCAGCCTTCTCTTCTTCAGGCTAAACATGCCCAGCTCCTTAAGCCGCTCCTTATAGGGCTTGTTCTCCAGACCCTTGATCATTTTAGTCGCCCTCCTCTGGACACATTCCAGCTTGTCAATATCTCTCTTGAATTGTGGTGCCCAGAATTGGACGCAATATTCCAGGTGTGGTCTAACCCTAAAATGTATCAGCAACATATTAATTGATGTAGAAACATGTAGATGAGTAAATTGGTTATATTTTGTTGTAGAGCAGCAGGTATCGTTTGTGATTCTTCTGTGCATGAAAATAAACTGTAGGGAATGAATTCATGGAAATTGGAGTAAATGTTTTCATATTGATTGTTGCTGTAAAGTCCATAATGATGATAATTTGTAAGTGAAAAATAAGGCTTAGGAGTGTTAAAAGAAATGGGGGAGGGACTCTCAACAAAAACATGTCTTTAGTGATTTAGTGAATTGTACAAAGCAGTTGAAACAGAGTGCTGAAAGTGTAATTTGGAGAAAAGATGAAATAGAAGTGTAATATTGGCATGTGTGAGCCCCTAACAGTTTATAGTATGCTGAATGTTGACCATTTAGAATATGTGGGATGAATGTCATAATGTGGAAAGTGAGTCATGAAAATCTCATACCTAATTATAGGTTCTTGATTAAGTATAGTGCTCTCCTTCCGCTTTAGATTTATGCTACAGATCCAGTGTTATGCCGTGTGCTAGATAAGTATATTATAGATTGGGAATTCCTAATTATTATCTTTATCTCTTCTAGGAAAAGGAAAGAGCTCAAGATGGAAAGCTTTTTAAAACAATATTAAGAATATTAAAACAAAATGAATGAATCATGATGGATTTGTCTTATGGGATGAGATCATGACAGTGGAGCAACCCTGGAGCAGACAACTTATTATACATCATGGATATGGAAGCCCCAGACAACAGTTTCCCTCTTCTCAATTGCATTTTGGTTTTTTGAAAACCATTATTTGAAAACTGAATCCCCTGTCCCAATCTACTATAGACACAACTGATGGATCATTATAGAAGAAGCTTGAAACTCTATTTTCTGTTTTGAAAGGTAGTCTTTTTAAAGGATTCAGAGCATTGTTCACAAGAGCACAAATAATAAGAAGACACAACGACAGCCCTCCAGAGTGTCCCTCGCTCCCCCTTGAAAGAAAAGGCTTTACAGATCAACCTTGCACCAGCTGTTGCCCGGATTTAGCAGTCAAGAGAGAAATAAACAAAATTAAACAACAACTGCCAGACAGCCAGCCCTATTCCTGATGAAATTGGGGGAGTGCTTTTACATTAGAAGAAGAGGACCATTGGGGAAGGTGAAGAAGATGTGTGCAAGACTGGTAGATTTGATAGAAGGATAACCCTCGCCTGAGCAGCCACAAAAATGTACTACCTTATACAAAGAGCAGAGTAAAAAGGAGAATTTTACTCAAATCCTACCTTGGAAATTACAAAGGGCTTTCCCCAAATAAAGTAATAGATGAAACCCTGAAACCCAATTTGTTGACACTTTTTGTTTTTTTCCTCATCATTTTCTTCAGAGCACCCATCTCTTATCCTTCTGTTTTTTACTGGAGGATCCAGTTCTGTTACTTCATTTGCTACTTTTTTCCAACCATTTATGTCACCTTCAGAAGAGGGCCATCTCCAATAGCTACTTACAAGAGTACATTCTCTGTCAAAACTTGCTTGGTCCAAGAACTTGCATAATTTGCACTATTTGTGCTGAGTCACTAGCTTTTTAAAATGGAGTATAAGCTCTTGTTTTGTATTTTTTTAAATTCCCATGCCCTGCAGAAGTCTTGCAAATAGGTACTGAATTCCCCTGGTTGTTTCATGAAACCTCTTTCAGTTGTGAAAACTACTCAAGTTTTGTTGAAATCCAGTACTATATTGATGATATTGTCATTCTGGTCTCAGTCTACTAACAGCTAACTTTAAGAACTTGGGAAACTGTTTAAACTTATTCCTGCACACATTGCCTTCCAATTCGAAGGTTCCTCTCCCCACTTTTCTTGTCCTTTCTGAGTCCAGTTGGGCCTGGGCTATGCTGCAGGGCAGATCATCCACCAGAGCTCCAACATGCCAGCAGCATCTGGAAAGAGATTCAAACCCAGCAAGTATGTCCCTGTATCAGCTGCTGCAATCTTCCTAGTAGGAGCTACAACACTCTTCTTCGCCTTTACGTGAGTCAAGAGAATTTAGTATTTGGGATGGGTAGAATGGGTTGGGCTTGATAGAATTACCTGTAAAACCACTACCCATATCAAGAGAATCTCATACCACAGGATGTAAAAACCAGCTATACATGCCTTTCTAATATGTTCACTTTCTAGAAGTGATTTGATCCAAACTAATCAAGATATATAAACTCACCTATTGTTTTTGAGACTAATGGGAGGGGGCTTTATTGAAATGTGTAACTAATTTAATATGAATTAAAAGTGAAGGACATTATAGCTTGCTTTCCTTTGGTAAACAAGGTTTATTGAGTTTCTGTGATGATTTTTAATTCCTACAGCTTTTAAGATGGAAACCCTTGCACACTTCATGTAAGCGGTATTGTGAGTAAATATAGAATATGAAGTTTAATTAAGTGAGGAAGACTGAGAGAGCTCAATTGGATGATCATTGTTGTGGCTGCTCCATCTGTTGATCACTTTAGGTCTGCCTGCAGTACAAAGTGCTGGTGTCTTTTGCCGTAAATAGATAGGGCTCTAAATGCTATTTATTTTCTACAGCCTAAAGAAAATTTGTTCAATATGAGAGATCTGTTATAATTGACATTTTGATGGTAGACATGATCTGACATATATGTTAAGGTGCTGATGGGAAAAAATAATCATTTTAGATCGTAACTAGTTAATAACTTAATGGTTTTATCTGATCTCCTCTGACATTGATAAAGCATTTTGCAGAATCTGTTGTAATGATGTTCTTTTCATATCTCTAACACTGGTTTGCAAAAAGGTAGGCTTGCAAATATGCAAGATATATTTTGTAACTAGGGGTTTGGGTGGTCATCATAAAAACAAGGATGGAATGAAATGCCTAAAATTTTCAGATCACTTTGCAAATAGTGGACAGTAGATCCATATCTTACAGAGTATTCTACATTTGTTGTCTAAAGACATCAAGGGAATGTTTCTTCTTTATTGGTACAGAGCTAAAAACAAACCTAAACAACAAATGTGGTGGACTTATAAGCTTTTCCTTTGATTCATTGAAGATTCTAATCATATTAAATCATCACATTCATACAATTCATATATTGGTGATGTGTGCAAATTTGAAGGAACATTTTTTTAGTTTAAATACAGCTGTTCAGTATGTGAAGTTACTCTAATGTTATTAGATGCCTCTAAGGGCACAATGTTATCAATGTGCGCTGAAAAGAACATGATTTATTGTCTTTGTAAAGACTAATATTTTGACATACAAAATAGAATTGTTGTGCAAAGAATTCTCTAAAGTGCCTTGTAGTCTCATGCCACATCCCATTCATCTCTAGAACTTCAATGAGGATATTTTTACTTTCATGAAGTAAGAGGGGGATTCCATTAGCTCAGATACCAGTCTGAATGAAATAAATATCTTGTGTTAAAACATTTTAAAAATCATGTTGGCTAATATATCCACAGTATACTAAACTGCAGTGTTGAGTTCAAGTTCACTATTAAGAAATTATTGGTGCAATGTGTTTGTGTATCTACAACAGTATATTAAAAATATGATTTAATAGCACTTCTATACATCGTTTCAGGCAACTGAAAGCTACGTGATGATGGAAAATGTTATTTAGAAGTCAATTCCATCAGATTAAATATATTTGCCTAAAATAGGACAAGAGACTACACTGTTAGGTTGTGGACAATAATCAGGGCTATGAACATATTGCTTGTTTACATGCATAGTGAGTAGACCAAATAAAAGCTTTAGCAATTGTAAGTAGCTTCAGTCATTTCTCAGGGTGTAGCTACCTCACCCATGTGACTTTTTATGATGTGTCACACACTCTGAACACCATTGCAGAAAATGTGTGAGTGCCCCCCCCTTTTTTTTTTTACTGTGGAACCTTGGGGATAGCCATACACTATACTAAAGTCAGTATCTACAGTCGCTTGCAGAACCTTGTCTCTGCCTTGATTTTCGCTTACTTCCAAACAATATTTGTGTTTTGGCACTAAAGTTAAGTAAACAAAAACAAACTAGCACTTGTTTGTTGCATTCACTGTGCTGTGACATGTCTATACAAGCTTAGGTACAGCTGCCTCCACTATGAATTCAGTGGAGTGCAGTTCCAGTGCCACACAATCTCAGATTAAATATATTTGTTGCTTGAGGGCCCCAGAATTTGTTATACGGCATATTGAAACTAACAGACCAAATCACTATCAAAATAGTTGGATAAAATTGGTTAAAAAGCCCCACATCTATGAACATTCCGTGCTGTACAGCTTCATTCTTTCAAAATGGGAAACAATATGCTCAACTGTAACTCTGTCCAGTGAAGAGCATTCACCAAACTTCAGAGAACAACCAGGAGGCTATTGTTAGTTCTGAAGAAGCTGGAGAGATCAGTAGCTGAGATGAAAACAAGTATCACCCAGATGCTTCACCAAGTTGGACTTTATGGAAGAGTGGCAAGAAGAATGCCACTGATGAAACAAATGCTTATCAAAACCTACTTAAAGTTTGTGAAAATCCTTATGAGAGGAATAGCAAATAATTTGAAAAATGTTCTCTGTTGAAACCCAAACGCTGTGTGTTGTGCAAAACCAACAATGCTCATCACCCTGAGAACACCATTCCCAGAGGAAAATGTGGTAGTTTTGGAAGTATATTTCCTTTGCTGTGACTAGAAAATGGATCTAGTCAGACCCCATACCTCAGCTTGACTGATCTTTGGGCAGACTGGGAAGTTGCTGTAAACCACTGTTTCCCTACGTGAGTGTGCTGTGAATGTGCACTAATGGTACTTCTGCGCATGCGCAGCATCGCTCCGGAATCTTTAGTTAGGATTTAAAAAGAATGGCGGTTGGCCCCGCGCACACTCCCCAGTACACTATAAATAGACCGCGGCTGGTCAAGCGCCTCCAGATCTCTTCATCTGCGCTAAAGATCAGCAAGCTCGGATCTTTTCTATTTCTTTCGATTATTTTACTGATATTTTATTGTTGTTTGTCTCTGCTATATAGCGGAGATGTCTAATACAAAAAGTTTTAAACGTTGCTCTGCCTGCCAGGGCAACTTTCCGGATAATGATGCACACTCCTTGTGCATAGCATGTCTCGGTGAAGGACATTTAACACAAGCCTGTGCCATCTGTCAGTCCTTCACCCCTAAAACAAGGAAAAACAGGGAGATCCGTTTAAAGGCCGCCCTTTATGAACGGGCGCTTCTCCCTGATTTACATCCAAATGCTCAAAAAGAACAAACCTTACCTGAAATGGCGGTCCAATCGGGATCGAAGAAGAAGATTAAAAAATCCAGGACTCTTCAGGGCAAGACGGCCGCGGCTAAATTCCCTAAAAAAGTGGGAACCGAGGCCGCGGCTTCGAAGATTCTCTCTCCCTTTGTGAAGGGAAACGAGACCCCTCCACGTGGCTCCAAAGCAAATCTGGAGCCAGCATCGACCTCCGCTCGCCCCGTGCGAGCAAGGGAGGAAATTGAAACCGAAAGGGAGCCGAGGCCGGCTGGAGCACGCCCCGCGCGTGTGCAGGAGGAGACCTCGCCTCCTATGCCTACACTTTCGGCGCCGGCTCCTCCTACAGCCCAAGAGGCAAACTCTGGGGAGGAGCCAGGACGGGCGCCCATGGCAACGCTTCCCTCGACATCYGGAATGCCTGTTGCCGCATCGACATCGGGGACCCTGCCTCGGCGCCGTGCGCGCGCTCCTTCYCGCACTCATAAGCGCAAGAGAGGACGACGAGACTCCAGCTCCAGTGACTCCTCCTCCTCTTCTTCCTCCACTTCATGCTCTGATTCTTCTTGCTCTGCAAGGGTGCGCAGGCGTGCGCGCGCACGGAGGGCAAAATCGACCTCCAGAGCTCATTGGGAGGATCAAAGTGACAGTGGACGCCCCCTTCCTCACCCGGGAGTGTATGAGATAACTCCCCAGGGGCGTTTTATTTATTGTGGCCCGCCAATTTCCCAACATCATGGSGACACTTACCATTCCAATTATAATACTATAGATTATAGATCTAGAAAACAGACTGACGGACAGCTGCAAAGACGAGAAGTTTTCCCTGTCCAGRGTAGTCATCAGGAGACCTTCTATGATCAGAGACATACTCCACTGCCATCTATTTCTGAAGACCAGCTTCCGCTTGATGATGGCGAATCGGATTCTTCGGTGGAAGTAGTTGACTCCCACAATGCAGAGAAGGATCAGACTACAAATGCAAAGCGTGTAGAGGATTACAACACGTTTGCTCAGCTGATTGGCAGGATGATAACTGCTTTGAGCATTCCGGCCCCAAAACCGGCCTCCACAGTGGATGATCCCATGTACCCTTCCGAGGAGCAGGACAGTTCTTCGTCCTTGTTACTCCCGACTCTTCCATATTTGTTAAAGTTAACGAAAGTTCCTGAAGTTTCTCCGTCGGCTGCTCCTGCAGTTCCTAGGAGGGTCGATCTTCTTTACAAAATAGATTTGTCATTAGCGGGCTGGATTGCCCATCCTACATTACCGAATACGGTGGTGGCAGAGGCAGCAAGGTCAAAAAGACCTAAGAAATATTCGATAACACCACCAGATAAGGAGGGAAAGAAGATTGACTCCCTTGGGAAGAAAATACATGTTGCTGCAGGATTGTTCGCTAGGATGGCGCATTATGCCACTTATTTCAGCGGATACCAGAGCTTTCTCTGGAACAATATGTTGCCCTATATCAATCGCCTACCGGCTGAAGACCGTCGTCTTCCCAGGGCATATCAGGCTGAGGCTCTTATTCTTTCTAGACTGCAGAAAGACTTTGCCAAGTATATGGCTGAGACATCGGGCAAGCTCCTTGCCTCTGCCACGGCCATATGGCGTCATGCGTGGCTTCGTGCTTCAACGCTGTCTGAAGAGAGCCGTTTGTTGGCGGAAGACCTTCCTATGACTGAGGAAGGTCTTTTTGATCCAACAACGGATGAAAAGATTAAACACTCACGTGAAGTAATGCAAGCAGCAAAATAT